AAGTTGTAAAGCACAGACAGGGGATACGGTAACACTCTTGGAAACGGTTCAATGATTTTAGAAACATCCAGCAGTATAGGATTACCGAAGACATAAAAGTCTTCTTCTCCCCAAAACAACAACATTAAAATATGTACCACACAAAAAGACAATATATCAGCTATTTATCATGCAAAAAGCGTTATCAATTTAAATCTAGCCTAACAGAACAATAACATGCGAGATCAACTTTAATATCGAAACCAATGTATATGTTCATCAGTATAAACGATTTTGGATGATGAAAATCCTTAAAAACAAATCCCATAAAAAGGAAGCCACTACATCCTCATGTTTATTTTTTTATAAAACAATCTGGTGCTAAGCAAACATCAATCAATCAATATTTTTATTCGGAACTAACGAAGCAATAAAGAAATAATTACCTTCAGTTCCCATTCACTCCAAGTCGATCAAAATGGTAAGAGATGTAGATTTAGGATGAAATATGATACCCTCCGACAGTTCCATAGGGACAAGTGAAGTATCATTACAACCGTGTAACCATTCAGTCATCTTGAAATCGTGAATCTCTGCATCGGGTTTTACTAATAAACATTTCCACTAGATTATGCCTTGTAGTTACAGAAATTAGAATTGAATATTTGGCTCTGGTGACCATGCATGTTTGTTGCACAACTTGAATGTAACCAGGAATTTTTAAAGACAATCTGATTAAAATTATAATCTATCTTTACTTGCTTACTCGTCAAAGCATAGCAAAATCACAGACATATGGCTTGTGTTATAAATACCTCACACATATTGTTTCTGTCACAGACATATGGCTATGTTTTATAAAAAAAACTCACACATATTGTTTCTGTCATGTTTGGTGAGTTTCACGTATAAGCTCGTTTGAGGTGAAATTCATGGAGTGAAATTTCCCTGTGTAGGTCTTTGTGCGTCTTCTACAATGGACACTCTCAAACATCGTAGACTAGAATGTAATTTCATGACTAAAATCACTTTTTCGTTGATCTTGTATTGCTGTTTTTTTTTCAGTTTCTCTCTATCTTCTGTATTGTTTGCCCAAAACACAAAAAAGGTAAAATTCGTCATTTAAGGACAATAACTCCTTTAAGGAGTCAATTTACGATGTTCGAAATATTAGACTTATTTGTAGCTCTGTCTTACTGTTTATATTTGTTTTTTAAAGTTTCCATCTATCTTATATAGTTTTTACGATAATAGGTACAAAAAAATGGTAAAAATCGTCATTAAAGGGCAATAACTTCAATAAGGAGTCAACTGACGATTTCCACCATGTTTGACTTATTTGTATATCTTGTTTTGCTTATCATTTTTGCTATATAACGTTTCTGTCCGTCTATTATAGTTTTCAAAATAAAAGGCAAAACTTGCATTTTACCACATTTTCTATTTTTAGCCATGTTGGCCGTGTAAGTTGGTAGGCGCCTAGGGGTCATCAAACAATTTTTTTAAATTGGATAGCTTAATGATAATTGTGGCTAAGTTTGATTAAATTTAGCCCAGTAGTTTCGGAGAAGATTTTTGTTTAAGTTAAGGGATGATGACGGACGCCAAGTAATGAGGATAGCTAACTTGGAGCTTTGGGGAAGGTGAGCTTTAAAGGAGGTCCATGCCCCAAGCACTTATGTCCTCAGACAGAGATGATCTTACATAAATTTATCTGTTCTGTTTTGGCTAACTTGGTTTTGACTGCTCAAAATGTTGTGGCTTCCAGAACTATTGGTCTAGATCATGCCCGATATGGCTTCCAGAAGTTTTGGTCTAGAGCATGCCTGATAAAGCTTCCAGAACTTTTGGTCTAGAGCATGCCTGATAAAGCTTCCAGAACTTTTGGTCTAGAGCATGCCTGATAAAGCTTCAAGAACTTTTAGTCTAGGTCATGCCTGATAAAGCTTCCAGAACATCTGGGCTAAAGCATGCCTGACAAAAGATTCCAGAACTTCTGGTCTAGAGCATGCCTGATAAAGCTTCCAGAACTTCTGGTCTAGAGCATGCCTGATAAAGCCTCCAGAACTTCTGGTCTAGAGCATGCCTGAAAAAAGCTTTTTCAGGAACATGTGTTATATCAGTATTATAAGTTTTTATTTTGCTATACACAGAAACATATTAATGGGAGTCCATCGCTACTGATAGGGTTGGCCAAACACTTATTTAACAATACAAACTGAAAAAGACATTTTATGTACTGCTCTTGTAGTGATGTTCGGCTTATCAATTATTATCGAAAACCGATCAATTGTTGAAAATTTTCGATTAATCTATTACTATTTTCAATAATTGATAATTAAAAAAATATCTTAATTTTTAACAAAAACATTTTGAAACCTCCCTGTAAATGAAAGAAATGCCTTAAAACACCTGTAATCTTTCCATTTGTACATATACACGGGTTTCTGGTGTAGAGTAATCCGTATTTATGAATCTGTATGTTTTGGTAATTAATTCTTCTTCAATACTATTATTTCATGTCCAAGTATAAAATGAGGAAAAGTGTGTTAATAAACTCTTACATTACTTACATACAAATTAAAAAAGAAAAAAAACGATTATTATCAAAAATTGAATAGAATACTATCCAAATACTTTGCTTAATCGATTATAATTTTCAAGTCCATTCCAAACACTATGATCTTGTTTTGTTCAAGACAGTTCTTTTAAAATGAATGGTCTGAACATATTGATCAGAATTCATAGAATGTATATCAAAAATAAAAGAACAGCGTTCCAATGTCCCCAGCGTTGCACATATTTTATCTATCCAGGGGCAATAACTAAAAAAAAACGCTTTTTTTTGTTGTTCTTTAAAACAATTTATAAATAAAAAGCGTGCGTGGGGGACAAAGAAGTTTTTTTTATTGTATACTAAATATTTCAAACAGACCTTCAAGGGCATTACTTATTATATTCTTTAAGTTTTATAAAAAATTGTACCTGTGAGAGCGCTAACGAGGCCATTTTCCATAAATTTAATATTTCCAAGGGTCATAACTCTTTTAAAAAAAGTTGAGTGTCCACCATTATAAAATTTGTCCAAGATATTGCTGATATTTACCTATAGTATAAGTTTTATAAAAATCTGGCAAGAATTGTACCCGTGAGAGCGCTAACGAGGCCATTTTCCATAAATTTAATATTTCCAAGGGGTATAACTCTTTTAAAAAAAGTCGATCGGCCACCATTATAGAACTTGTCCGAGATATTGCTGATATTAACCCATAGTATAAGTTTTATAAAAATCGGGCAAGAATTGTACCTGTGAGAGCGCTAACAAGACCGGACAGACAGGACGAGTGGACAAACGGAGGGACGCCCGGTATTTCCATGTCCCCCGCAAAGCGTTACGCGGGGGGTAAAAAAAGAAATCAATACTGATGCAAACAAAGCAATACATGTTCTTTAGTATTCCATGGTACAAACAAAACAGGAAATTTAATTACCAGTGAAACGCTAATTTTCTTTTGAATTATAATGTATGGTTATCAATTAAGAAATAATTCATGGGGGCTTGAATATATCGTGATTTTACCACGGGTTGGCCCTTTATAACAAATATTTTACCCTGAGCGATGGGTAAAATATTTGTCATAAAGGGCCAACCCGTGGTAAAATCACGATATATTCAAGCCCCCATGAATTATTTCGATTCTAATAGGACAAATACGGCAATTGTCTTGGATCGAAGCGCTCTAGATGAAGGCATTATTTGCTGTTCCCATAAATAAACGCACTATTAAATTGACGTTACAGACCGGAGCAAACTGAATAGATGACATGCTTTTAAACTATTTACAATAACATATTTAGATAGGTTTGGATGAATCTAAATGATAATTGTACTTATATGTCTTATATGTATACAAAAAATGGCTTATATAACACATTTAAGCATCGTTTGTTTACGTTTACTTGTTGTGATGATTTTCGGTTTCACAAGCATGTATTTTCCCGTAAAATGCTTATATTCTTACGTCATCGTTCTATGACGTCGGGTAGCTCATTCATAAAAAAGCATATGACGTGGGAGTACGATCGGAACAGCCCAAACAATATATTCATATTTTACCACGGGTGTGTACTCAAAGCGTTTGAAGAACGTCAAGTTAGAATCCTAAAATAATCAATTTTTTAACATGGAGGCCAAATTATTTTGAAAATGGGAGCAGACAAATTACACTTGACAACAGAAATCAATTCATTTTATCATAAACTACTAAGATATAAACTCTCAATCACATTTTTGCAGCAATTTTGAAAATGGCTACTGGTAAATAAATTTTGACACCAATTATTAATTTAGGATATTGTTCTCTAATTTTGTGTGCATTTATACCAATAAATTTTGATTAAATTTGTCTCATATGATTTCTCGCAATATCCTTTCAGAACATGGTCAGCATTTTCTATTGAATCATAAGAGAAACAGCTTCTGTCACTTAACCCTGTCAAGTACAATATTTATCCAGTCTCAATAGATTAATTTAAATACCTCTTGTTAAACCTTGCATTTCAAAGTTTGAAAATTTAACTATCTTCAGTGGATTAATATCATAATCATAGGGTTGTGTGGTAGAATCAATATATCTATGTGAACATCAAATTTGCACAACAAAATAACATACACATCAACATATCAAGAACAACATCTGTTCATAATTGCATTCCAGTCCTACTCATAATTTTAGAGATTTAGCATTCACACCATTTGAACTCAATGAGGGCAAGCTTTTAAAAACTACAAAGTAACTAAAATAATTAATTTGGATGAAAAAAAAAAACTATATATTATTGCAGTTCAAAAATGATATGCTTTTCTTTCTTCAATATTTTATACAAAGAAAAATGGATCATTGAGAACTCCATCATCCTGAATATGCATGAAATATTTGCCTTTGACATTTAACTTACAACAACAACAATCAATACATCCTCCAATGTAACATTTCCTGCAAAACATAATACAGTACATGTTGAAATGCAACTATTTTATTTCATCTATCAATACTGTGTATTGTTTCATCAATAAGTCTACTAATTTCTTTACTTCTGTCAAATGATCTGTCAAAACAGTTTGTTAGCTGTTCAGGACGTAATGGACTGCCACCTAGAAAGGAAAATAGTACTATTTAGAAACAGCTCACATTGTTAAAGATTGAAATATGTAAATAAAAGTAAAATATTATATAAACAAACAAGAGTGCACACGCTGAAATGTCTCGCCTTCTTTACTAATCATTGATATTATGTTGATAGTTCTAAATATAAAGCTCTACTACAACTATCACATAAACTTAACATGATCCAAGAAAATGAGGTCAAGGTCATATAAACCAAACAAGAAATACATGTACACCTTACAATCATTCAATACACTAAATATAGTTGACCTATTGCTTATAGTTTCTAAGATACAGAATTAACCAAGAAAACTAAACATTGACTAATGAACCATGAAAATGAGGTCAAGGTCAGATGAACCATGCCAGGCAGACATGTACAGCTTGCAATCCTTCCATACAACAAATATAGTTGACCTATTGCTTATAGTAATAGAAAAACAGACCAAAACACAAAAACTTAACACTGAGCTATTAACCGTGAAAATGAGGTCAAGGTCAAATAAAACCGGCCAGACTGACATGTACATCATAAAATATTTCCATACACCAAATATAGTTGACCTATTGCATATAGTATTAGAAAAAAAGACCAAAACTCAAAAATTTAACATTGACCACTGAACCATGAAAATGAGGTCAAGGTCAGAAGACACCTGCCAGCTAGACATGTACACCTTACAATCATTCCATACCAGGCATGGGGCGAATTACATTGCAATGTAATGCATTACATTCAGGCATGGGGCGAATTACATTGCAATGTAATGCATTACATTCAGGCATGGGGCGAATTACATTGCAATGTAATGCATTATATTACAATTACTGACCAAACCATGCATTATATTACAATTACAATTACATTCATTTATCAAAGTAATGCATTATATTACAATTACTTTTGCAAAGTAATGCCTTGAATTACACATTACATTTGAAAATTTTATTAAGTGACTAGAAAAATTAAACATTTTTAAAAACAACTAGAAGTCACAAAAGATTCTAGCATATGCAGTAACTGTTCCATGAATTGAATATAAGTATACATGTAAAAAGTCTATTTAATTCGACTTTTACAATTTTAATTATTTTAACTTAATGTTGACTTTACTTTTATAAATATACTTTTTGTTGTTTTTTTTCTAAATTTTAAACGAAATATTTAATTACTGTGAATTACTTCCATAATTATAAAATAAACATAGACAATTATTAATGAAAATTTTTCTAAATGGTGAAAATATTGATTGTAAAACTAATTAGTGTTTAATTATCTTTTATTTAAGCAAGACAAGATATTCTTTGATTTTATGACAACAATACAGTTATGCTTTTCAAATATCAATCTTTTTATGCAGGAAAATGTATGAAATAAGATGAAATAAAGAATATATTCTAATGATTAACATATTCTTAGTTAATCAAGAAATCTTAAATTTGGTTTAGTTAAAACTCCAACAATATGTTAAAGATGAAGTATGTGAAAAATGCAATGACATGTAATGCCATGTAATGCATGAAATTACACAACTTTTTGCTAAAGTAATGCATTATATTACAATTACATGTAATGCACAAATTGCTGCATTACACATTACATGCAATTACTTGGAAAAATTGAATGCATTACCATGCATTACAATTACAAATTTGCATTACCCCATGCCTGATTACATTACAATTACTTTGACAAAACCATGCATTAAATTACAATTACAATTACATGCATTTATCAAAGTAATGCATTAAATTATAATTAATTTTGCAAAGTAATGCATTGAATTACACATTACATTTGTAAATTTTATTATCAAGTGAAAAGAAAAATCAAGCATTTTGAAAAACAACATGAAATCACAAAAGATTCTAGCATATCCTTGGCTTTAGTATGAATAAGTTTAGACGAGAGATGTTTTCTGCTTGGAATGTTAAATTTTGGGTCAAGTTTTCAACAACGTTCTTGAAGTTTTTGCTATCAATTTTAGCAAACAGAAGTAAATCACGAGCAATATACTGAATTAATGCATCTGTAGCCTCCTTTTGCTTAGGATAATCCCAGTGATATTTCGGACTACCTGACTGTTTCACAAAACTTATCAAAGTTGGTTGCTCTTCTATCTTTGATTTTAAAGTTTCAATATATAATACATCTCTGTGTTTCTCTAAAAAGAAGTGACAGAGATGAAGTTTAATCTTCATTTTAACTTAATGTTAACTTTTCTTTTATAAATATACATTTGCTTTTTTTTTTTTTAAATTTCAATCAAAATATTTACTGAGAAATTCTTTCCTAATTATAAAATAAACACAGAACTTAATTTATGACCAAATGTTGTTGATTGTAAAACAAACTAATTAGTGTTTTATGACAATGTTCAATTATCTGTTATTTAATTATGACAAGGTACTCTCTGATCTTTTGACAACAATGGAACACTTTTACAGTAATGCTTTTCAAATATCAATATTTTTATGCAGGAAAATATATGAAATAAAATGAAATAAAGTAAGTAAGAGAATGATAATTCCATTCTTTAAGATTAAGTACAAGTGGGTAAAGTGTGAAAATTAAATAGAAAATCAATATTCAAATGATAATTTTTTAGTTAATCAAGAAATTTTATATTCTGCTTTTGTTAAATATCAAACAATCTGTTAAAAGATATATATATAGTGTCAGAAAAAAAGTAATGCCATGTAATGCAATGTAATGCATGAAATTACACAACTTTTTGCTAAAGTAATGCATTAAATCACAATTACATGTAATGCTAAAATTGCTGAATTACACATTACATGCAATTACTTGGAAAAATGTAATGCATTACCATAATTACAAATTTGCATTACCCCATGCCTGTTCCATACACCAAATATAGTAGACCTATTGCATACAGTATAAGAAAAACAGACCAAAACACAAAAACTTAACTATAACCACTGAACCATGAAAATGAGGTCAAGGTCAGATGACGCCTGCCAGTTGGACATGTACACCTTACAGTCCTTCCATACACCGAATATGGTAGACCTATTGCTTCTAGTATCTGATATATGGACTTGACCACCAAAACTTGACCTTGTTCACTGATCCATGAAATGAGGTCGAGGTCAAGTTAAAACTGTCTGACGGGCATGAGGACCTTGCAAGGTACGCACATACCAAATATAGTTATTCTTATTACTCATTATAAGAGAGAAATTAACATTACAAAAAATCTTAACTTTTTTTTCAAGTAGTCACTGAACCAAGAAAATGAGGTCATGGACAATGGACATGTGACAGTCGGAAACTTCATAACATAAGGCATCTATATACAAAGTATGAAGCATCCAGGTCTTCCACCTTCTAAAATACAAAGCTTTTAAGAAGTTAGCTAACGCCGCCGCCGCGGATCACTATCCCTATGTCGAGCTTTCTGCGACAAAAGTCACAGGCTCGACAAAAACCTTGCTGAATTGATGTAGATTTATAGTTACAAAAGTGCTTTGCTACCACATTTTATCTGCATACAGTCATACCAAGTTTGATTTTAATGCATACTTCTTTACTTGCAAAAACTCGTAAGATAAATTTTGTCAATTAGATGGCTTTGGCACATGTAGTAGCTATCACTATACTGTGCAAAATAATATCCTTTTGTATTAGTGTGAAATATTTTCATCCATCACTTATAGAGAAATTCAATTTGTTTTGGAGAAAAATTTTCAGTGGTATTCTTTAAAACAAAGCTGTACACATTTTGTCAATCTATTTTTAGAATTTTCAATTTTAGTTTTCAAAATTGAATTTTTTCACAAAAAAATAATTTAATAATTTTATTTCAACACCATTTTCCATCCCATATACCAGTACTAGAGAAAGAAACTAGACCTGTGTAGCTGATAATTTTTTCTGTTAACAGTTTCTCTATCTTCTATAGTTTTTGCCCAAAATGCAAAAATCCATAAACAATTGTCATTAAAGTGTAGTGGTTGACGTTTTAACAATTATATTGTACTTCCGGTCGGGACACTTTCTTTGGTCCTGAGCCCAGTCAGGTCTTTTAGTGGGTACACTAACAGCTGCGCGTAGTCCCGAGATAGCCCGGATTTAATACGTCATACTGACGGCTGCTAGAAAAACCTTGGGAAACAATAATATTTATGGTAAGAACGTTGACCACGGAATTGTATTTAAAGTGTATGGACAATATTGATGTAATCAATAGTTTAATAAACCATCAGAACTTCTAAAGAATTAATTATTATATGACTAATATCTCAGAACCAGGGAAAATAGGAAACAAGACGGGAAACGCTTGGAATTATATAGTTTTATATACGAACTAAACATCACAACTTTCACTCCCGATACAAAAGGGCAATAACCCCTAGAAGAAGTCAACTGACAATATCAGCTATGTTGACATATTTGTAGATCTTGTCCTGCTGATTTTTTTGGTTTTTTACATTTCCTTTCTATTATTATAGTTTTCAAGATAAAATGCTCCGTTGGGCGCAGCTTGATACGACCGCAGAGGTCGAACCCTGAACAGTTGGGGCAAGTATGGACACAACATTCAAGCTTGATACAGCACTGAATTTGGATTGTGATTAAATATTTGACATATCATAGGTTTCTGACACAGAATGAATGTGGTCCAAGTACTTAAAAAATTTTAATTTACCTATTCAAACCATATCATTATTATTTGTTTTTATGTATAAATCAGAAATAACCAATTTAAAATGAAAAATTTTAAAGAACCCCCCCCCCCCCCCTAATTTTTTGAACCCCCTTATTATTCATCACCTCCAAACTCAATCCCAGCCTTCCCTTTGTGGTATGGTACCTTGCAGTACAATTTCAGAGAAATCCATACACTTGAACACAAGTTATTGTCTGGAAACTAGAAAAATGCTTGTTTTTTGGCCCCTTTTTTGCCCCAAATTCCTAAACATTTAGGGTAATTACCCCCAAACTCAAACCCAGCTTTCCCTTTGTGATATGGAACCTTGTAGTACAATTTCATAAAGATCCATACACTTACACACAAGTTATTGTCCTAAAACTAGAAAAATGCTTGTTTTTTGCCCCTTTTTGGTCCCCAATTCCTAAGAGTTTGAGGCAATTACCCCCAAAATCAATTTCAGCCTTCCCTTTGTGGTATGGTACCTTGCAGTACAATTTCAGAGAGATCAATACACTTGAACACAAGTTATTGTCTGGAAACTAGAAAAATGCTTATTTTTGGCCATTTTTTGGTCCCTTATTCCTAAACGTTTTGGGCAATTACCCCCAAACTCAATTCCAGTTTTCCCTTTGTGATATGGAACCTTGTAGTACCATTTCAGAAAGATCCATAGACTTACACACAAGTTATTGTCATGAAACTAGAAAAATGCTTGTTTTTTGCCCCTTTTTTGGCCCCTAATTCCTAAAGTTTTTAGGCAATTACCCCAAAATCAATCCAAGCATTCCCTTTGTGATATGGAACCTTGCAGTACAATTTCAGAGAGATCAATACACTTGAACACAAGTTATTGTCTGGAAACTAGAAAAATGCTTATTTTGGCCCCTTTTTGGCCCCTTATTCCTAAACGTTTTGGGCAATTACCCCCAAACTCAATTCCAGCTTTCCCTTTGTGATATGGAACCTTGTAGTACCATTTCAGAAAGATCCATAGACTAACACACAATTTATTGTCATGAAACTAGAAAAATGCTTTTTTTTTCCCCTTTTTTGGCCCCTAATTCCTAAGTTTTTGAGGCAATTACCTCAAAATCAATCCAAGCATTCCTTTTGTGATATGTAACCTTGCAGTACAATTTCAGAGAGATCCATACACTTGAACACAAGTTATTGTCTGGAAACTAGAAAAATATTTATTTTTGGCCCCTTTTTGGACCCTTATTCCTAAACGTTTAGGGCAATTACCCCCAAACTCAATTCCAGCTTTCCCTTTGTGATATGGAACCTTGTAGTACAATTTCAGAAAGATCCATAGACTTACACACAAGTTATTGTCATGAAACTAGAAAAATGCTTGTTTTTTGCCCCTTTTTTGGCCCCTAATTCCTAAAATTTTGAGGCAATTTACCCCCAAAATCAATCCAAGCATTCCCTTTGTGATATGGAACCTTGTGGTACAATGTCAGAGAGATCCATACACTAACACACAAGTTATGTCTGGAAGTTACAAAAATGCTTATTTTTGTCCCCTTTTTGGCCCCTAATTCCTTAACTGTTGGTACCATAACCCCCAAAATCAATCCCAACCTTCCTTTTGTGGTATTGAACCTTATGGTAAAATTTTATAGAGATCCATTCACTTAAACTAAAGTTAGAGTGCGAAAACCAATGTGTCTTCGGACGACGACGACGTCATACCAATATACGACCGCAAAATTTTTTTGCGGTCGTATAATAATAGGCAAAAATGTAAGATATAGGGGAAACATTGTCATTTAAGGTAATAACTCCTATAAGGAGATGTTTGAAGATTTAGGTTATGTTGACTAAATAGTAGATTTTGTCTTGCTGATCATTTTTCCATTTTAGTTTCTCTTTTTTTTGCTCGTCAGATTTTCTCTTTTCTATAGAGATTTCAAGGTAATTGACAAAACTTGCATTTCAACCCCTATGTTCTATTTTGAGCCATGTCAGCCATGGTGGTTGGCAGGTGGGATCATTGGACACATTGGACAATTGATTGAAAGTTATTTGTAAATGTCGAATAATTACCAGGTTTGTGAACTAGACATAATTTGTCATCTGTTGTTACTATGGTTACAATACCAGTTGCCAAGTTCTCTTCCTCAGCTGTGGGATCAACAAACAGGATGTTACTGAAATTTATAAATCAATATAAAGTACTAACAATAGCAACCTTCAGAAATAGATATATACAGATTCTTTCTTAAAATTTGAAAAATCTAGCACATTCCTTAACCCTAACACAAGGTAAAGTTTTAAGAGAACAAACTAATGAAGAAAAAATCCAGTTATCTTCCAATTTATAACACAATTGAATATAATGAACATATTTCCACTTACTCATCAAATATAGCATATGTAGATGATACAGGCTGTGATGATATAGGTAATGGTATTCTCTTTGTTAGGTCTGTTTCAGGATTTTCTGTTTCTTCATTAATACTGATAGTTGGTAAACATACTAAATATAAATTGTAATGTCAAACAATGAATAGATAAAAAATTCCACACCATTTCTATCATTTGGTTTGTCTTGAGGTTAGTAACTTATCTTTGATGTCTTCCAAATGTTTTTTTTTCATGAGATGATAAAAATATGTTTTGTCACTACAATTAGAAATGTCAATAAATGAATTCTATATACACTTCTCCCACAAATTGATAACGAGATGTTTATTTGTTTTGTTTGTGTTGTTGAGTTTCTGTCTCATGAATAAATGACCATGCTTCCAATCATCACAAATGTACATATATGTGCAATACTCCATATATCCTAAATGAATAAGCTTCTTTTTGATCAGAGGGGCCTCGGTGGCCGAATGGTCTAAGTAGTTGAACTACTGCATCACTAGCCTGTCAACACTGTGGTTGTGAGTAAGAATCACACACGTACACGTGGGTCTGACTCCAATCTTGACTGCTACTCCCTCCACTAATAAAAACTGACTGCCTCGAAATAGCAAAATAGTGCTGAAAGTGGTGTTAAACACCAATCAATCAATCTTCTTAATCAGTCTTATGTAACCATTCTACATGATATGCTCTCTTAAGAGAAGAGATAAAGTCACAGAAAATGCGATGACCCATAAACTGGTATCTTGAATGTACAAAGTGGTAAAATATCAATGATCTACCTATAAGAATGTGGAATTAACTATAAAATGATAATCATAATAGACATGAATATACAAATTGACCCTAATCTAGAGTGGCATCCATACAAAAGTCTAGACTGTATACTGGTAAAATGTTGATACTTTTTAAAATTGTGTAAGTGCCTGCAATGCATTAGAGTATGCAAGTCAGGAGCCTTTATTTCAGTGGTTGTCGAACATATTTGTTTTCCATTTGTTGTTTTGTTCACGAATCAGGCTGTTAGTTTTCTCGTTTGAAGTGATTTACATTTGTCATTTCAGGGCCTTTTATCGCTTGCTATGCGGTATGGGTTTTTCTCATTATTGAAGGCCGTACAGTGACCTATAGTTGCTTACTTCTACATCATTTAATCAATGGTAAAGATTTGTCTCTTTGGCAATCATACCACATCTTCTTATTTCTATGTTGACTTGATTTTACTAAGTGATTTCTAATTGAGATGTGATTTAAATATTAATGAGACAACTAAACAACTTCAATTACCAAAAAAGATTGACTGATTGTTAATGCCTTACATCAAGTAAAATAAACATCTAGGGATCAGAATACTACCATGACAATGAACATGAGCCAAACACTTTATGAAAATCCCTAAACCTGCCAGTCTTGGCTGGTTGTATATGAATTGATCAAATATGACCATATACTTGTTTTTTTTTATTTATGAAAGAAATTATTCTGTAATGTTATACATTTGTATACTAACCATTTTTGAGTGCAGCTAACAATGCCAATACACAAGCATCAGTCACATTACCATCATAGTCCAGACATAACAAATCACAGTACAATACCCACACAAACTGTAAAATAGAATGCTGACATGTTGACAAGGGCCCAGCTTGCACATTTTTGTGTGAGACACAAAGACTGATGCATACAAAACAAGACATTTTCATGGGTTGTAAATTTTCCAAAACTTTGACCCCAGCAATTAATTCAGGATAGGTTCTCAATAAATATAAGTTTTGTTAAAATCCAAGCACTATGTCTTTTGGTGGGCATTTTTGTAATTGGTGGGCAACAAATAATTTTTTACACAAAGAATCATTTTGAAATAGCAAATTATACTTTATATCACACAATTTTAATTAAAATTTACATATGGATTTTCATTGAAATCCAAGTAAAAACAGATATTTCTCAAAGTTTATCATTTTTCAAAAAAAAAAACTATGTTTTAACTTTTAACTACAATTTTAACATTGAACAACAATTCTTAACAACATATTATATCTATCTATCAATTTTTGTTGAAATTCTAGCATAAAAAGATGTTTCTCAAAATTTGTGATTTCTTAACAAAAAGAAAGTTTATACCATTTTTAAAATTTGTTGGCACCTTCAATCCCTTTGAAATTTCATTACACAAAAATGTCTATTTTTTGGTAGAAATCCTAGCATAAAAAGTCAATTCTCAAAATTTTGTGATTTTTCAGTAAAATCTAGGATTTCCCCAACATCTATTCACATCTTATAATACATAAATCAATTTTGGACACCAGGAAACAATTTTGAAAAGCTTATAATACCTTTACATCAAATTTATGTACAACTATCCTAGCACAAATAGATTTTCTTCTTTCAATTTACAACTTTTACACCCAAATCATCACAAAAATCAATTTTTGTCATTGGGAATGAAATCATATTTCTTGTGTTATTTTTTTTTAGAAATTCTACCAATAAAAGATGTGATTTCTTAAAAGTTTTTTTCCCCAATTTTCATCAAAGTTACACAAAACAGAAAACGGACCTTCCTTTTAAAGGTATAAAAGCTGTGCATGAAATTTTGGAATTCAGTTAAGTGCTGATGGACAGATGGATGGATGAACAGACAGAGTGATAAATACTACTATTCATAGCCGAGTGTCAAATGACAAATAACAAACCAATATACAATACCCAAACTGAAATAACATATAAAAAATATATATATAAGTGTATCACAGCAAACTAACATACAATTCAGTATATGTTAAAACCAATTCAAGTGGTATATGTATAACTATATGTTTAATATTGATTCACTTATAGGGTCTTTGCATCGGAAATAAACACATTTATTCTAAAACCAGTTGTTGGCATGATACGGGTTATGTTCTTCTCATATATTTTATGATGGTATGATACTAAACCCCTAACGGGAGGGATTGTGCTTGATATTCATATGATGAAGACATAATCTTTCAATCAGTTTAATTGAGGTCTGGAGCTGGCATGTCAGTAACTGCTAGTAGTCCTTTGTTAATTTATGTATCATTGTCATTTTGTTTAGTTTCTTTTGTTACCTATTCTGACATCGAACTCGGACTTCTTTTATACTGAGTTTTACTGGGCAAACTGTTATGCGTTTGTTTTTTCTACATTGGCTAGAGGTATAGGGGAGGGTTGAGACCTCAAAAAACATGTTTAACCCCGCCGCATTTTTGCGCCTGTCCCAAGTCAGGAGCCTCTGGCCTTTGTTAGTCATGTATGATTTTTAATTTTAGTTTCTTTTATTCTTTTATATATTTCAGAGTTTAGTATGACGTCCATTATTACTGAACTGGTACATATTTTTGTTTAGGGGCCAGCTGAAGCACGCCTCCGGGTGCAGGATTTTCTCGCTGTATTGAAGACCCATTGGTGGCCTTCGGCTGTTTTCTGCTCTTTGGTCGGGTTGTTGTCTCTTCGACACATTCCCCATTTCTATTCTCAATTTTAGTTACCAAATCAACTCAACCTGTTGTTATGTAACTTTCATGATGATCATGTAACCCTAATAAGAACTTGTACCTATTTTTTTTTCTTTTTCCAGTTGATTGTATGGAGATGTTGAATTGATTACAAGCTATAACTGTATAATTTATTTTCACGGATTGAGGGAAAATTGTTCTTTTATAAATTGTACTTTTATCGTTGTAGGACCTTTATTTCATGGATTTAAGAAATTTTACAAACATTTGGCTTTATAGAAATTGTGGTTTGTCTGAATACTTAAACTCAGCATTCATATCCCAGTAAATTTGAACAGATCGACAACCTTTTTAAAATCAGAGTTTTAGTTTATATAACTCATTGTTTGAAGATGTTTTAATTGTATGGATCAATGATGGTTGTCATACAAGTAGAGGGTTTTAACAAGTGCCTTAGTCATAACTTTACATGAATTTCTAAATGTGTCAACCATTGCATGAAATAAAATTTTTCCCAAAAGCTGCAAGAATTTATCAAAATGTCTTTCAATTTATTAAGGTGTTGGGGTTGCTGTCTCATTGATATCCTTTCTTTCATTTGCTTTTGCTAGAGTGTAGTGATCCATATCCTGGATACTATTTCTTTATACACTGATTTAGTTATTGTTGTTTAATGTCCAGCAGATTAGGTAATATTCCAGCAATTTCCTGGATTGTGTTGATTTGGCAGCATTACCCTAATAACTTATCAATTGCAAAGATACTTATCAATTGCAAAGATACTTATCACTTGTAAAGATACTAATCACTTGTAAAGGTAAAGATACTAACCTTGCCTTGTGTTATACATAATGATTCCAAATCAACACATTTTGAGCTAAAAAATAAAAATACCTTTATTATTTTCAAAGCAATTTTTCAATTAAAATGATGACAAAACAAGAAGTTGAACATATTATCATGCTAATGATACACTTACTTCTAAGTCAATGTATTGGTAAACAGGAAGTAGTTGTCTGACAGATCTGAAAAGCTCTAACACATAACATCTCGCTGTCAAGATGCTGACCAAATATGAAGTCATTCTGTTATGTAAAACTGGAGAAATGTGTGATGAAAAAATTGATTTCAGCATACTGAAAAAATTCAAAGTATTGGCAAATAGGTAGTAAGTGTCTGACAGATCACAGTGGCCGACCAAGAAATTTTCATAAGGGGGGCCCACTGACTGCCTAAGAGGGGGCCTGCTCCAGTCATGCTTCAGTGATTCCCTATATAATCAACCAAATTTTTCCCACAAAAGGGGGGGGCCCGGCCCCCTGAAAAACCCTCTAAATCCGCCTCTGGATCACAATAGTGCTCATACCTTCCAACATTGTCAAGTATTGACCAAATATGAAGTCATTCTGTTCAGAAGTACCTAAGAAATATTTCTAGTTGAATAGACTTACGGACATTCATGGTGATTGCAATTTGGCCCCACTCCTAAAGTGGGAGTGCAATACAACCAAAATAAATGCTACTCTTAAATGGTACATTTGTTACTTATCTGTCTTCCTTGAGTGAAAGTTGTTTCTCTCATGCCCAAAGGACAAATGCAAACATTTTCATCCATTAGTATCAGTTATTTATTCATCAGGTCTTAGTTTGTTATTTGAAGTTAATAAAATGCTATATATTAATTTTGGTCCTCCATCACTAAAATGCAAAGGAGTTTTAGTTGAAAGTTAAAATTTGCCAACAATCATAATATATTTAAACATATAAAAAATGTACTCACTGATTAACAACTTCCAACATAAACTGACTCATCACTTGAGCTTGCTCTCCTGGAGGTCCAGAGCGAAAATATGGAGAACAAAGGGGAGATAATTCAACATTTGGTACTGAAAAATAAAAATTGATGTTTGTATAAAATATTAACATTCCTTGAAACTCAGTATGGACAATATAAAATATTTTACAGTTAAATCAACTAAGATAAACATAACAATTCCTTCTATTTACAAGAGGCAGCAGCAGAGGGAGGGAAAACCTAAAATGTATAAAATTGTATTACAATTTAATATGTTTTTGTTTAGCAACTCATCAGAGGAGCAAAGGCACCCTGCTTAATTACAGAAAAGACAATTTCCTTGCCACTTGTCAGTTAAAATAAAATTCTATAAAAAGCTTCCTGAAAATTTTTTAGAAGGTAAAATAATATTGATCGACAGATAAAACTGCTTTGTTCATTTGACTTTACCTTAGGGCTGTTCTCACTTTTAGAAATCTACTTAAAGCTGTTCCATAAATACCTACATGGCACCTAGGGAAGTCACATGAAAATATCAACTATTGGTTGGTGTCAAGTACAGTGAATATGCAAGTGAAATCTTTAATTTGCCTCTATAGGGGTTTACATCATTTTGAAAGTGTCTATCCTGGGTACCATGTACATTTACATGGAACAGTCCTTAACCTAGTAGACCAGTAGCTGCTTACCCTTCAAAAGCACCTGAGTTTACCCAAAGATTTTGTTTGTGATCATGTTGCTCAATACTTGGTTTTTTTTATCAATGTAGTGAATTATTGTCTGTTGTTTGTCTTATCCTCTTTGGTCTTGGTGTTATTTTTCTGTGACCTATGGTATTTGGTTGCTCCTTTACTACATGAATTTCCTTACCTTTTTTTTACAAGTATAACTAGTTATGTTATCTATTAGGAACTTATCATATCTATGATATACATGCAGACTTTGGTTGATTTCATGGTAAGAAACCTTAATTTATAGTAAGTGGTTGATCTAATGTACAAATTTTCAATTGATCCAACAGAAGTGGTTATCACAACTGTAAAATCCTGTATCCTTGAAACAGTGACAGTTTTCTCAAATAAAGATCTAGCAAAAGACAATTGTGACAGACAGGGAAACAAAAGAAAATGTTGGTACGACGTTAAAACAGAGGAATTTGACCAGCATTCATTATATTTTTTCTGTTGACATTTCAGACTGAAGCATTTTGTTTTTATACTGTCTTATACAACATTTTAAAATGCATAGGTTACCTATAAAACCACATTTAGGTGTTTCTGTTTTTGGCTTGCAAAGTTCCTGCAAAACAAATCAATCAGTCATATACAACATGAATTTGTCAATGGATACAAATTTGTGGTGCAAATAAAAATATTTCTTTCAGTATTCATTTTATTGCATTTCTATCTAAATAAAAAAATATCAAATATCAAAGAACTACAACATTTGTTAATGTTAGGTATTATATACAAAATAAAAATATTTCATTCTATTTGATGGATTTATCTATGAGAAGCTTGCTTATCAATGAATTAAAGAATGACCATCACTATGGACACATGTCTATTGGTTAAGATCATATATTGACCTGAAAATATCTTATTTTGAATGTGCAATTGGGTTGCTGTCTCATGAAATTTACCCTACATCATAATTGATTCATAAATACCAGTAAATTGAAATCACACTGGTTTAATATTCAATGTCACATATTCTGGCAATTATTTAATTAGAATAGAAAACTCTTCTGCCTTTTTTATATTCTCTCATCTTTGATTTCATTCCCAGTCATTACTTGTGCAAACAAAACAAAGCATATAGACTAACCATGAAAAAATGTTTTTTCCAACCTACCTATCTTGATGTAGAATTCTGATTAAATTCAGAACAAATAAATGTTTTTTTTTCATTCTGTACTTACAGCTTTTATACCACACATTACTGTAGTATTACCAAGCTTGACCAGTGCAGATCCATCGGCTGTTGTCACACATCCTAAAGTATCAAAATATCACAATACTAGAATCAGGATTAACTCTTTACTTTAGGTATAAATTTGAAACTGACAATAAAATAAAGTAAAAATTTGCATGGCCTTACACTATTTAAAAGATCTGCATATGCAGACCTTCCCAGCATATCTTTAACATTAAGATTACCAAATTCCTCGCTTTCCTTATAAATTAAACCTATTTTTCACTGAATGATTGCAACTAGTAAGCAAGTACATTTATACCAAAATATACTGAAGGCTATTCTAGAAAAAAAACCTGGTCCTTTGGACAGCACCGTACTGGTTTTAATAATTATGGATGATAAAGTTTCTAACAGTTTTCACAATACAAATAAACTTATTTGATTTTTTATAAACTGTCATGACTTCATGGGTCTTGAATAAAACATGCCTTCAACCCCCACCTCCATCCTCAAGTAATATTTTTCCTGCAATTAGCCCATCAGAAATTTCAAAGTAGATATATATACATGTTTAGCATTATTACAACAAATGATATCATTTACAAACCAATGTTGAGTACAGTTCTTCTAAATTCTCCAAGATCTCTTCCATCAGGTCTAACATCTTGTTCCTAATAAAAACAACCATACATCAAAGACATCACTTACAGATTTCTATATCACATGTATATAGGTTAAATTTGGCAGGTTATCACATGACCTATGAAAAGTTTGTTACCAATCAGGTAATACTGTAAATTCAGAAATTATTGCGAGATTTTTATTAATGCAAATAATGCGACTGGGTGACTATCGCAATAATAAGAACTCGCATATATGTTACATATATCTGTATGCAGATTTTCATGATATCACAGTACCGGGTAATTAATCTGGCATTTTTTTCCATTCTTGAATAAAATGCTCCGCAGGGCGCAGCTTGATACGACCGCAGAGGTCGAACCCTGAACAGTTGGGGCAAGTATGGACACAACATTCAAGCTTGATACAGCTCTGAATTTGGATTGTGATTAAATATTTGACACAGCATAGGTTTCTGACACAGAATGAATGTGGTCTAAGAACTTAAAAAATTTTAATTGGACATTCACCTATTATGGTCCAATATCCAAAATCTAAATACATGGTTAGATTCAGCATATCAAAGAACCCCAAGAATTCAATTTTTGATAAAATCAAACAAAGTTTAATTTTGGACCCTTTTGACCTCAATGTGGACAAAGTTGATAACGGGGCCCAAAAATCTAAATACATGGTTAGATTCAGCATATCAAAGAACCCCATATATTCAATTTTTGTTGAAATCAAACAAAGTTTAATTTTGGACCCCGATTTGGACCAACTTGAAAACTGGGCCCATAATCAAAAATCTAAATACATGTTTAGATTCAGCATATCAAAGAACACTAAAAATTCAATTTTTGTTAAAATCAAACTAAGTTTAATTTTGGACCCTTTGGACCTTAATGTAGACTAATTTGAAAACGGAACCAAAAATTAAGAATCTAAATACACGGTTAGATTCGGCATATCAAGGAACCCCAATAATTCAATTTTTGATGAAATCAAACAAAGTTAAATTTTGGACCCTTTGGACCTCAATGTGGACCAATTTAAAAACGGGGCCCAAAATCCAAAAACTTAATACACGGTTATATTCAGCATATTAAAGAACCCCAAGAATTCAAGAATAAAACCCCATTGAAATTGATCAAGAAATAAGCAATTTATAAGAAGTATCTTCTTTTGCACAATACTGTGCAATTGAATATTTCTTGCTATTGCGCAATACTGTACAATTGACAATTTCTTGCTATTGCGCAATATTGTGCTATTGGATATTTCTTGCTATTGCGCAATACTGTGCAATTGAAGATTTCTTGCTATTGCGCAATACTGTGCAATTGAAGATTTCTTGCTATTGTGCAATACTGTGCAATTGAAAATTTCTTGCTATTGCACAATACTTATTATATAAAAATTTACACATCCTTTTTGGTGTGTATCTCCTACCATATCATTATTATTTGCTTTTAAATATAAATCAGAAATAACCAACTTAAAATGGAAAATTTTAAAAGAAAAAAAAAAGGAAAAAAAGAAAGAAAAAAAAATCTCCCCCCCCAAATTTTTTGAACCCCCTTATGATTCATCACCCCCAAACTCAATCCCAGCCTTCCCTTTGTGGTATGGTACCTTGCAGTACAATTTCAGAGAGATCCATACACTTGAACACAAGTTATTGTCTTGAAACTAGAAAAATGCTTATTTTTGGCCCCTTTTTGGCCCCCAATTCCTAAATGTTTCAGGCAATTACCCCCGAACTCAATTCCAGCTTTCCCTTTGTGATATGAAACCTTGTAGTACAATTTCAGAAATATCCAAACACTTACACACAAGTTATTGTCATGAAACTAGAAAAATGCTTGTTTTTTGCCCCTTTTTTGGCCCCTAATTCCTAAAATTTTGAGGCAATTACATCCAAAATCAATTACAGCCTTCCCTTTGTGATATGGAACCTTGTGGTACAATGTCAGAGAGATCCATACACTTACACACAAGTTATTGTCTGAAAGTTAAAAATGCTTATTTTTGGCCCCTTTTTGGCCCCTAATTCCTTAACTGTTGGTACCATAACCCCCAAAATCAATCCCAACCTTCCTTTCGTGGTATTGAACCTTATGGTAAAATTTCATGGAGATCCATTCACTTAAACTAAAGTTAGAGTGCGAAAACCAATGTGTCTTCGGACGACGCCGGACGACGACGACGACGATGCCAACGTCATACCAATATACGACCAAAAATTTTTTAATTTTTGCGGTCGTATAAAAATCACAATAATAAATGCATGCAATAATTTCTGAATTGACAGTAAATCTTCACTTTACTATCGGTTACTGAAGTTTATCACCCTTTTTTTTAGCATATGATAATAAACACAAAGTCATAAGATCAGTGTGGACAGCATAATCTAGCAGGAATTTCACATCATATTAGTTATGTCAGTTAGCATATTAATTTTTTTTTAATTAATACTCAAGATAATTGAAATGTAGTCATGGTAGTAGACCATATAGTTCCAAATTATACCCCCATTCTAGGAGTTGGGGCTGTATTGCAATCCCCTTGTCCATCTGTCCATTTGTCTGTCCAACAAATATTTTCGTCTCACTTTTCTCAGAAACTACTAATCAGAATGACTTGATATTGATCAGCAGCTTAACAGTGATAAGCTATAAGTTTTGTGGGCTTTTCAGATCTGTCAGATACCTACTTCCTGTTTGCTGGTACTTCAAATTATTCAATATGTTGAATGAACTTAAATTTTTGTCATAAATTTCTGCCATTCTACTGAACAGAGTAATTTCATATTTGATGAGTTGTAAAGTGTGCTGGCTTTTGTTAGTCACCTACTTCCTGTTTTCTGATACTCTGAATTTCGAGTGTGGGTATGCTAAGGATAACAAAGTGTGCTTTCTTATCTAAAGATGAGAAATTCTCAATCACATACCATGCATACAGGCCTGAAAATTTTCACAAAAATAAATGTACTACTGAATGATCTTTTAAATGCGTTCATTCTTTGTGATGTCATCTGGCAAAATCAGTCTCAACGATTTAGTCACAGAAATTTAATATGATCAGTATTATCATGTTTAAATTTAAATCAATTAAGGCCCAGAACAAGGAAACCACACAGGACATAATCATGATAATGTTCATTAAAATAACGAATAGGAGAAAATAGTATGACCTTACAAATTTTTATGGTTATTTTATTCTAGCATGATAAACAAATAGAAATTTTATCATTTTTTATTTATAATCAGGATGAAAAAGTGTTAGTGTTGGACTGTTGAAAAAAAAAAACAGATTAAAAATCATGAGAATTTTTAAATCTTATTACCGATTTCTTGATATAAATATGTACAAAATAATATAATATACTTACTAAATATTTTCTGTAATATTCCACTGGTCTTGCCGTTCTGTAATTGAATATTGTCATTTTCATTAGCTGCATTTATTATAGGCAAAAAAATAGTTCCTTAAAAGTGAAAAGTACATCAACAAAGAAAGAGCATTAAAAAATTGACAAGTTTTCACCATGTTGAAATTCAGTTTAGAAAGCTTAAATTACTCAACAATATATACCAATTGCAAGATAGCTACTTTCAGATGAACTAAAGCCTAATAATCATATGGTCTTTTAACTTTAGATTGCTTAAACGTGAAAACTGGCCCAAATATATGAATTTGAAGAGTAAATTACATGTAATTGGTAATTCTATATGCATTTTTTTTTTATTCAAATGACTGTTCAAATTGTCATGTCATGCATGTGGTGTATACATTTTTTAAATTTCATATAGGTGAACAATATGGGTTGTTATTTTAAAATACAGATGTTGTGAAAAGTTGTAACTTTGTCCAAATAATAATTTGTAAAAGTCATACATGGATGTAGTTTGCAAACATCTTAACAACAGTGGATAAACCAAGCACCTTATCTTTGATTTAGCTTTCATCACTGTCATATTTGCATGTTACACTCACTGATACAAAATTTTTATAACAACATTTTAAGATATTTTGGGGACTTAAAATCTAGAATAGTAAGAGAATAAAAATTAATTGAATTTAAGATCTGTGTCCTCATTTGCAGAAGATGTTGTAAATGTCATGAAAAAATTATTCTCATTGTTTATCAGTCTAAAATGTGTATATCTAGAAATAATACTATGAAACTAAATTACGTTTCAACTTATTAACTCTGTGTAAAAAATATTATATTACCCATTTCTGGGTTATTGCCATCCCAGGAAAAACACTGGCCCATTATAAATACTTTGCCAACCCTGTTTTGCTGTGTATACTATCTCATTCTCATTCCATTATTATTTTTTAAAAATGCCAATATACATGATAAAGATTTGCTGTGATGATTTTTTTTTTATAGTTTTTAAATAATTGGTCACATTTGTCATTTAAGGGCAGAAACTCCTAAAAGGAGCCAATTGATGGTTTCACACCTACATGTAGGTATTTTTTTTAAATCTTATAATGCTGAACATTATTCCTGTTAGGAAATGCTATAAAAACCTAAATGTATAAATGTATGCCTGGAATTAAATGTATGTGATTTTTTTATAGAATGAAGATAATAACATCTGTCTGAACTTTTCAATGTTTCATTTTAATATATAAAAATGTTTTTCTGTTACAAATCATGATGTATTGTTTTATGTGTACATGTTATGTTGCCCGTCAAGGGCCCTTGATTGGAATAATAAATATTCTTATTCTTATAAGGAGTCAATTAAAAGGATGATTTCAGTCATATTGGCATATTTGTAGATATTGTAAATAGTTGCTGATCAAATATTTCATGTATTTCTGCTTTTTGGTTTCTGTTTATCTCATAATCTTTGATAATAAGCAAAAACACTAAAATTGCTCACAGTGGAGTGTACATAGATCTTGACATTTTGAGCAATTATGCCTCATCTGATGTTACAATTTTTGGTGCTCTTCGTTAACTTTGTTACAGTATAATTTAATGTTCTTTTAAATAACTTCAACTTGTGTTTTCAAGCCAAATACAATAACTTGCATTTTCCCTTAGTTTCTTATTTTCCCCATAGTAGCTATGTTGGTCGGTGGATTAAAATAAAGTTTACAAACTATAATCTAGGCAGTCTAAGGATGAATTGTGTCATGTTTAATTGATTCTGTGAATTTGGTTAAGAAAATCTTTGGAAAATGTTTTCAGACAATGGATGCAAAGTACAAAAAAGTAAGTCTTTGAATCAAGGTTAGTTGCCTTTACACATAATTTACAGCAATATAAACTTATGCTTTTGAAATTAGATTTTGTCATAGCATTATATAATGACATTTTAAAATTTGAATCTTGTTTTAATTTGTGTTGATGATGGAAGGCTGTTTAATGTCCAGAGGCATATAAAATGCATATTCTGGATGAGAACATGTTAATGTTATATGAATATTAACCCTTCTTTGTACTAGACCCACATGCTAGTTCACAAGGTAACAGATTGCAGGAAGACATGTCACCCTACCCTGACTCCAAACCAACCAGTCTTTGCTCTCCCTCCTTAATGCTGTGTGCTTAGCAGAGAAGCAGCAAATTGTACTTTTAAAGTCTTCGGATTTACCAGTATCAGGTCGTTCTGGCCCCAAACCAATCCGGCTCAAGTCAATCTGTCCCAAGTCGTTTCGTCCCATGTTGATCCGGCCCCATAATAAAATAATGAATAATGTATATTAACATCGGAGGATTTGGTGATGTATTTGATTCAGGGTAAATGGAATTTGCACAAAGTATCGAAGATTAATCAGAAATTTTCCATGATAACTGGGAATATCATGGGAAAAAATAGTTTTTTCTTAATTCACACATTGAAGAGATAAATAATTATTTACAATCCAAATTTGATTTTAATTCAAATATTTAATATTCAAGTAATATTATATTTCTATATGAAATCTTGATATAAATATTTGACATATTTAAAAAAAAAATTCAAATAAATGTCTCATCTTATGAAAATTAAAGATTTAAATATTCATCAAAGGCAAACTTTTTGTACTAGCCACCTTTCATAAAATTCATAAACATTTTATGTATTACAATTCATATATTTTTATCCCTTATAAATATTTTTTTAAATTGGGGCTGGATTGACTTGGGACGAAACGACTTGGGACGGATCGACTTGGGGCCACATTAACATGGAAGCGCTTTGACCAGACCCGATTCGAAACCACAACCTCCCACTCTCGATGTGAACATGCTACCCTTGTTCTTTTGACAATAATTGCTACTAGTTGGTTAAACACTGTGTTTCCTTCCAGAGTTCAACTCCCATCCTTTTTAAGGTTTTTTTGGGGGGGGGTAGTCTTGTTAGGGTACAAGTCAAATCGGCACCTGGTCAATTCGTCACCTATAGAAAAAGTCAAATCGGCACCTGGTCAAATCGGCATCTAGTCAAATCGGCACCTGTTTAAACATGTTAAAGTCATTTCGGCATTCGACAATTCAATTGGCACCTTATATTATTTTTAACATTTACTTTCCTTTTTATTTGAGAATAGTTTTTCTTTTTTTTTTTTATATATATTATTTTTGCAAAACTTACAATTTCATAGGTTCATTTCTTACATCGTTAAAAACTCAGCATATGTAATTAAGCAGTAAGAATACACAACAAACAATAATCAGTTGGCTTTCTGTTTAAAGTTTTCTCAATACTCTATTAATATTGTTTTGATTGGTTATCACTTTAAAAACTTATGAACTTTTATCAATTACAAACAATAACCTGTTTGTTGTTTTAACAATTTTTAGGTAGTTTTTATACGACCGCAAAAAATTTAGCGGGACCTCGTATATTGGTATCACGTCGTCTGCGTTGTCCGCAGACATTTGGTTTCCGGACAATAACTTTAGTATTAGTAAATACAAATCTATGAAATTTAAACACAAGGTTTATAACCACAAAAGGAAGGTTGGGATTGATTTTGGGGGTTATGGTACCAACAGTTTAGGAATTAGGGGCCAAAATAAGCATTTTTCTAGTTTCATGACAATAACTTGTGAAACGGTGTATGGATCTCTCTGAAATTATATCACAAGTTTCCATACCACAAAGGGATGGTTAAGATTGGCTTTGGGGGGTTATGGCTCAAACCGTTTAGGAATTAGGGGCAAAAAAGTGAGAAAAAACAAGGGTGTCCTGGTTAATATACAATTACTTAAGTACAATGTTGTGTTTGAATTACCTCCCTTACACTGCTTTTAAATTATGTATAAAGAAATGTTGTATTGTCTTGAGGTGATTAGCTGTCAATTTATTTTTAGAAGTTACTATTTTAATAATTTTAAAAATGCTGATTAAGGCATATTAATTTTAGTCATGATTATGTAATTTTTTTGAAAAAGAAGGGGGGTAAAAAAAAATTTTGGGAGGGGGAGGTCAATTCGCAACAGCATAGTGTATTGCACAAAAGCAAAAAATTTAATATAAATTCAAATCATATACATGATATAACCAATTCTAAGTTCTTTGACTACAGTTATTCTGTGTCAGAAACCTATTATGAATTACAATCCAAATTCAGTCCTGTATCAAGCGTGAATATTGTGTCCATTTTTGCCCCAACTGTTCAGGGTTGGACCTCTGCTGTCGTATCCAGCTGCGCTCGGTGAAGCAATTTATTTATCTTTTATAATTGAAAAAAAAAACATGAAGAAGCCATTAGGCAAGCTGATGTTTAATCCACGGATGAGAATAAAATCTAATTTAATCCGATTGTAATTTAAATTGTTTTTTTTCCTGCATCTCCTGTCTACTTGTATAAATGAATAACGTTGGCACCAATCTTGTAGCCTATGTTTATTAGTAATGTGCAGAACTGCAAAGTTTTCAAGAAGCAAATGCGTGAGATTTGGCCAAAATTGTAAAGATCAAAGAGAAAAAACAATAGATCAAAGGAAAATGCCACCAAATATGCATGAAAATGCGTGAGACTTGGCAGCCCTGAATGTGCAGTTGTCATGAAATAGAGGTTCTGCTATCAGATATTATGGCCCCATTGTTTATAACAAAGTTTCCATTGGAACTTCTGTTACATGCATCACCTTTACAGCCTCTAGTCAAAATGTTCAAAATAATTATAAAAAAGCAGTCTTCAATAGTTTACTTGCAAACATAATATTAATTTTGGGTGCCGAAATAACTACCTCGGATGCCAAATTAACCACGTCCCGAATTGACTATAACGGGTGCCGATTTGACCAGGTGCCGAAGTGACTAGAATTAGTTCGTCTTGTTGTTCTGTTTTACGTTTTGTGTGTAATGTTGACATTTTCTATTGCCAATAGTAATGTCTGTCCTCTGACAAACAGGCTGTTTAAAAGTCATTGTTGGGGGTTCTTTCTTATTTGTATTTTTTTGGTTTGTTATTATTAGCAGACAAGAGTATTTGTTTCATCTGCATGTGCTCACTTGAAGTCTGTCGCCATATTGTCAACTTTGCCAAATCGATTTTGAAAGACCAATTTTCATTGGTCCATATTTTACTTTTAACTAATCAAAATACTTTTAACTTTTGTGTTATAAGAATTGAAAAGCGGGAATTTTGTAAACAAAAAAATAATAAATAACAGCTGACATGGATTCATTTGAAATAGATGTTTTCAAGAAAAGTATTGAGACTGTAATTACGTCTGAAAATGGAGAGTGTGTTGTCCAAGATGTCATGCTAACTTACATAAAAAATAATTCATCAGATTTCCCAAATCTCAGAATTTTGAAAGATTTGCTTCCAATTCATTTTCCCGTCATTGTTGCGCACAAGCCTTTCAATAAAAATCCTGTCAAACCAGAACAGAGTACTTTCTTTGAAGACACTATCTACAAAGAGAAACCTACGAAAAAGCCATCTTATGGTGATGTAGAAGGGTCACCTCTTAAACTCCAAACATATGCAGATTTTTCAGCCTTTGATGTCAGTTCTTTTGACTGTACCACACCGAAGTCTGATGTCACCATAGACCCTGAAGACTTGAAGTTTGGAATTCCCTTAAAAGTAGCTAGGAAGTTGACGAATATTTTTAATAGGGTAGTAAGTTCTTCAATCCAGAATGTACCGTCATCAAATTGCAGCCTATATCATGCTTTTCTTTGTTTTTGTGACGGCAGTGACAGAAAGAGAACTGGATGTGTATACACTCAAAAATTGTATTCTGAAAACAAGGAATATATTGGACTAAAATCATCCATTATCAAGATAGTTGATCCAGTTCAGAATAATGCACACCTGCCAAGTTTGAAGAAAGATGATTTTTCCAGATGTCAAGTTACATGCAAAGCTACATATGACATTTTAAATGATACAAGAGAGGAAAATCAGCTTGATATTAAAGACAATTACAGATACAGAGGATCATTGATGTTGGATGTATCCTGGTCAAGATTAGTCCCCAATCTTGATTTGTTGCAACCACCACCACCAGAGGCCACAACCACAATTAAAGCCAATGTAATACCTGGAAGTATGAAAAGTGCAGCTCATTCACTTTACCAAGAATTGTCTGTGTTAAGAAATCTTATAGAAGGTACATGTATAAATCTGGAGAAACCCTGTATATATTCAAATCAATTTGATATATTTGATTGATAATCCATTAATTACATGAACTTAGTTTAGGTACTGTATGTAACAAGAAATCTAAAATATATCTACATTGTATCTATACAGTTAAAATGCAGGTACAGTGGAATCCTTTATGTCCGTGCAGATGGTGATATCATGCATTACCTGATTTCGTCATATCCGCAGTGTAACATAAATAGAATCGCTCTTGTAATTGTTTTAGTCTCCCGAAGGGACTGAAAAGATTAAAATTAATAAGTTCAAGCATAAATTTATAATTTCAAACCCATAATTAACAATATTTAATCATTTTCCACAAAACTATGACCTCATGAGTCAACAAATAAAATTTGGTTTCATTTTAAGGATAATTTTTTTTAAATGAAATGATTTTTGCTCCATATCCTTGGCCGTCTGTTTGGTTCAAACTGAACAGTATTTCAAAGCATAAAATCTCCTTTATTCAAAATTAACTATTTTAGATTGCATGCACGAAATCACTGGACAATTGAAGAACTGTCAAAACAGGGGTTTCCCTAATTTTGGACACATATAACACAAAATCTTAAGGTTGAAATCATACATTAAGAAGATTTCATGACATTAAAGTACATTTTGTATGTCATGAATTTATTCTCACAATTATTGGTTTTATAAATTTTACCAAAGTGAAGCTTCATGACATGGTAAAATGGCAAAATTGAAGTAAAAAAACAGGGATTGAAATACAATGCTGGCCAAGCAGTCAAGCTCAGGCTTTCAGAAATGTTTAATTACTATTACAACAGCTCACACATAAATGTTTACATAACCATGATAACATGAAAAAAAAAAAAAAATCTTAAAACAATAATTATTTCTTTACTTTTCAACAGCATGATAATCTTGTCCTTACACCAGTGTTATAATTATTTTTTGTAGTCGCTCTGGCTTCTTGGTACATTTACCAAGAAATATATCCTTTGTATGATTAATATTTGATAAATCTTCAATTGACTATGATAGAATAAACAATTTCATAAACTGTATGATTTTATCATACAGTGTATAATAAAGCATTATTTATAGGATTTTCCATTATATTTTGCGTGAATACATTATATCATCAAACACTTGTTTAACTTATAAATTGTGACTTTTCAATGGCCCAAGCAATTTAGTGACTATCTGTCCATTTACCCACTAATTTACCAGGTTAGGATTGGTTGTTGCAGTACTTTCAATTGACCAGTATTTACCATGTTTACCGTCGACCTGGTCAATACTACATGTAGCATTGACAGGTTTTATGCCAACCTTGTAATTTAAAACATTATTAATTTACGAAGTATTATCGGCACCAAATTTTTCTTGTTATTCAAACATGGCAGTGACCCAGTTAACGGAAGTCGTACACAATTGACCACTAATAAAACACGTGAGGTCAACTCCGATTTATAAGTGTGAATAGTTCCTACTCTGCTAGACATGCTAGAGCCATTCATCAAATTGCTGATGATTTACAAGTTAAAATCTTTAGTTAAGTCATACATGTATTCAGTGTCATAAATGAGGAATGAAGGCTAGCTATATATCGTATAATTGTGATAACGAGTACAACATGAATATTCTACATGTTTTGTAACAGTCAACCAAATCATGGTTGTATCATTTAAACTTTCAAAGAGATGACTTCTGCATTAGAATCAGCTTGTTTAGAAGAATAAAAATTTATTTAGGGAAAATTGTTTTTGTTTAACTTTCGGGGTTCTGTTTCACACTGCATTTAATATCCTCTTGAAGCTCTTCTATAATGTTTTCCTTGTAATAAAAGGTTGATCAATATACACTTTTGTAAAATAAGGAGATGTGGTATGATTGCTAATTTAACAACTATCTACACTGATATACATTTTAAACGAGTCTAATTGAGGATAAAGTGAACTTTAATTCAAACTCTTATATTAGTATTTACATATTATTGCTTATACTATGTTTACAGTTGGCCCCTTAGAGATTGCTGAAAAGGGCCTGTAAATCCATTATTTAATATGTGCACTTTAGATGATACATTTTTTCTAACCCTGCTAATATAATTAACATTTATAAATGTAGGACAACATTATTTTACCGGTAACATCTTTTATTTAGTTAACAGTATTTCATATAAAAATTTTATTTTTGTGGCTAAATCTTATCAAAATTGAATTGCAGGTTTACAGTCCTCACAGATCACCTGGATTCCAGAGGAAGAGAGAAAGGTTCATATAATGAAATCTATTAAGGAGTTATTTGATAAATTGAAACAAGGAGATGCTTATTCGAAAGAATCAGACAAACAGTCTACCAACACTGACAGTGATCTAACTGAAGTTACCAGTAAGTTTGTACTGAATGAAAGAGATAATTTTGACTTTACAGATTACCTATGGAAGATACTCTCCAACTGCACATCATATCAAGAGCTCATTGATCCCTTTAGGTATATATTTACAGCATTAAGTAACGGAGAATTACAACCCATGGTACATAGAGGTAACAACACTATGGTAGCTCAACTGGTGCGTGATTCATTCTCAGGAAAGTTACGTATCCCAAACCTGGCTGGGCTATATCCTGTAGAGCTTCTTGTAGAAATAGGAATTGAAAAGTTACGACAGGATTACACTTATGCGTTCTTGTCCAAGGATCTGGCTACCCGTGAAAATCTAGAGCCATTTTTAAAATCGGACAGTGATTTCAGTACACAGCTTGTCCAGCTTGAGAAGATGCACTCTGTCATTGAAATGATTGCAATGTTTCAGTTCTTTTTACAGATCCCTCTTTCAAGTCTCAGTGCCATAGCAAGAGAAATGATTCACTATTATGAAAGGAATCAAATTTCGAATCAACATATTTTCAAATTCATTGTTCCTACAATTTCTGTTATCAAAGATCTTGAAGGTTGCCCACCGTCAACCTGGCAGCTTGCATCAACGAAGCTAGTAGAAAACATGAAAGAAACAATGACCTATTTACTGACCTCAGACCCACCTTTCAAACATTTACCTGTAAATGACACAAATATGAATATGAAAGAAGATGTGAATGAAAATGACACAAAAATTGATGATACAGTTTGTGCTGAGAAAATGAAAAGACCTTACTTCCTGGTGAACAAATTAGAATGTGTCAGTGTGTTGATTTAACTTTACAATACATAATATTTTTATAATTAGACTATTTTTATTCTGGGATGTATATTACTATGTATATTTATTTATTATAGCTACATTTCATTGTAGTTGTATTTAAGGCAAACAGGGGTCATATTTATAGAAGTATAAAAAAAGATAACTTCTTAAACTAAACATAATTAAACAGGACATACACTGAATGTAAGCATGCACCTCTCATTTTAACTTTTTTCATAAAATTTACTCCAACAAGTGAAAAAACATAAAAGCCTAGAACTTAACCTTCTGCTGTTTTAATCTAAAATCAAAGTTCAATCTGTTGGGTTTATACAACACGCATAATAATGATATGAGCAAGTAGATGTTGTGCAGGTACATAACATCATCGAACATTAATTAGGGAAAGGCACATAATACTTTTCAGAGATCACTCCCTTGGTAAGAATAGCATCAAGTTCATTTGTATCCAAAAAATAATTGGAATATAGAATATTTCTTTGAAATTAAATGATTTTAATTAGCCTGACAAAGTAGAAATTGTTAAGATAAATTGTAAGAAAACATTCAGTGAAAATTAAGATATTGGCTTCTTTCTTCTACAGTCAACTGATAGTACAATGTATAAAGTTTACAATCCAAATGGGAAACAAGTAATGATGATATGATCAATGGAGTATGTACATGTATGTAATGTACACTTGATTTTTTTATTCCCTCGTCGTAGGCAACGGGGGCATTAAGTATTACTCTTGACCTTCCGTTGGTCCCATTATGTTTCCGCACTCTAACTTAACATTTCCTCATCCAAATTTTATGAAACTCATACACAATGCTAAGAACCAAAAACTCGCAGACAGAGTGTAAATTTGGGCAGTGAGTCACTTACCGTTCTACAGTTATGGCCCTTTATAACTTAGAAAATTGCAATTTTTTCGTTTCCGCACTCTTACTTCTGTTTTCCTCATCCAAATTTTATGAAACTCATACACATTGCTAAGAACCACAACCCACAGACAGAGTTTAGATTTTACAGTATGTCATTTACCGTTCTAGAGTTATGCCCCTTTATAACTTAGAAGTTTGTCTCATCCAAATTTTATGAATCTCATACACAATGCTAAGAACCACAGCACGTAGACAGAGTTCAAATTTGGGCAGTGGGTCGTTTAACGTTCTAGATTTAAGCCCATAATCATGTCCGACACATTCTTCTTTTTTTTTCCATTTAAATTAGCAGCTTGTAATCACTACATTTTTGAGGTGGTAAAAGATATTCACTTCAAAAGAAAAATCGTCACATTTTCATTATTGTTCAGAGTTTTCAGCCTTCATTTGAAGAGTCTATTTTTGTCCATTCTTCAAAAATCGCAATAATAAATGCACACACTATATATATTATTATTTGATCAAAACATGTTCACGAGACTGCCTATTGGACTGACAGACTAGAATACAGTATGCCTCCTATTATCCTATGCAGATGGTAAATATATTCAATCAGCTGATTAAAAGAAATAAAAGAGATAAATTTAACTAAGAATTTTTCATCTGTTTGTATAAGATATTTATTTCAACTTGTTATTCTAAACTGAAATGCTATCTATATATAAGGGTCTGGATGGGGGGTCCTTCAATTCTTTTTTCTTTAATCTTTTAGACCATTTTTCTCTATTCTTTATATCTCAGCACCCCATTATTTTCTATTCTTTATTTATTTGGCATATTTTTCTCTATTTTTTAAATTTGTTGCCCTTTATTCTGTACTTTTTACCCATTATTCTCTATTATTTAAACCCCACCCTGACCCTCATATATGGTGTAATCCTGCTACTTAACATAACATGATATCCTGCCACATTGTTCTTTTACATAAGATCCTTTTTATTAGCTCACCTGTCCCAAAGGGCCAAGTGAGCTTTTCTCATCACTTGGCGTCCCTCGTTGTTGTCGTCCGTCGTCGTTAACTTTTACAAAAATCTTCTACTCTTAAACTACTTGGCCACAATCATCATTGGGGTATCTAGTTTAAAAAATGTGTCCGGTGACCCGGCCAACCAACCAAGATGGCCACTATGGTTAAAAATAGAACATACATTGTAGGGGTAAAATGTAGATTTTGGCTTATATCTCTGAAACCAAAGCATTTAGAGCAAATCTGACATGGTAAAATTGTTTATCAGGTCAAGATCTATCTGCCCTGAAATTTTCAGATGAATCTGACAACCTGTTGTTGGGTTGCTGCCCCTGAATTGGTAATTTTAAGGAAATTTTGCCGTTTTTGGTTATTATCTTGAAGATTATTATAGATAGAGATAAACTGTAAACAGCAATAATGTTCAGCAAAGTAAGATCTACAAATGAGTCAACATGACCAAAATGGTCAGTTGACCCCTTAAGGAGTTATTGCCCTTTATAGTCAATTTTTAACCATTTTTCATAAATTTTTGTGGTCTTTTACAAAAATCTTCTCCTCTGAAACTACTAAGACAAATTTAACCAAACTTGTCCACAATCATCATTGGGGTATCTAGTTTAATAAATGTGTTCGATGACCCCGCCCGCGAACCAAGATGGCGGACATGGCTAAAAAATAATACATAGGGTAAAATGTTTTTGGCTCATATCTCTGAAACCAAAGCATTTAGAGCAAATCTGACAAGGACAAAATTGTTCATTAGGTCAAGATCTATCTGCCCTGAAATTTTCAGACCAATCAGGCAACACGTTGGGTTGCTGCCCCTGAATTGGTAATTTTAAGAAAATTTTGCAGCTTTTGGTTATTATCTTGAATATTATTATAGATAGAGATAAACTGTAAACAGCAATAATATACAGCAAAGTAAGATTTACAAATAAGTCAACATGACCAAAATTGTCAATTGACCCCTTAAGGAGTTATTGCCCTTTATAGTCAATTTTTTACAATTTTCATAAATGTTGTAAATTTTTGTAAATTTTTACAAAATATTTTCCACTGTAACTACTGGGCCAAGTTCATTATAGATAGAGATAATTGTAAGCAGCAAGAATGTTCAGTAATAAAAGTAAGATCTACAAACATATCACCATCACCAAAACACAATTTTGTAATGAATCCATCTGTGTCCTTTGTTTGGCCACAATCATCATGATCATCATTGGGGTATCTAGTTTAAAAAATGTGTCTGATGATCATGACCCCGCCTGCCAACCAAGATGGCCAAAATAGAACATAGGGGTGAAATGCAAGTTTTGTCTTTTATTTTGAAAACCATTATAAAGAGAGAAAATCTGACCAGAACAAAAATGTTCAGAATGTTGAGCTCTACCAATTGTCCATACATGTCAAAACTGTCAGATGACTTCTTATAGGAGTTATTGCCCTTAAATAACAAATTTTACCAATTATTTTTTCATTTTTGCCTACAAAATTGAAAACTATAATAGATACAGAGAAACCTTAAAATGATCAGCAAGACAAGTTCTACAAATAGGTCAACATGGTTGACATTGTCAATCAACTCCTTAGAGTTATTGTCCTTTGATGATAATTTTTGTCGAGCCTTCGACTATTGTCGAAAAAGCGAGACATAGCGATCCTACATTCCGTAAATTTCTGTTGTCACTCTGTGGTTCAAGTTTTTGAAATTTTAAATAACTTTCTTTAACTATCCTGGATTTCTACCAAACTTGGACAGAAGCTTGTTTATGATCATAAGATAGTATCCAGAAGTAAATTCCTGTTTTTCCGTATTTTACTTATAAATGGACTTGGTTTTTCTGCCAGGAAACATTACCTTCACTCTGTGGTTAAATTTTTTAAAATTTTAATAAATTACTTAAACTATCCTGGATTTGTACCAAACATAGACAGAAGCTTGTTTATGATCTGATCATCAAAAGCTAGTATCCAGAAGGAAATTTTTATTAAAATTTTGTTCTTGTTTATCCATATTTTACTTATAGATGGACTTAATTTTTCTTCCAGTTAACATTACATACAGTCTGCAGTTAAATTTTTTTAAACATTTATTAGATTCATAAACTATCCTGGATTTTTAACAAACTTGGACAGAAGTTTCTTACAATAAACAAATTGTATCAAGAGGAATATTTTTATTAAATTTTGACATCTCATTTTTGTTGAGCCTGCCATTAACAACAAAAGTAGGCGAGACCGCAGAACCCTTACGAATTTTTACCTATTTTTTTGTGTTTTTGTCTTAAAATTATACTAGACAGATAGAAACTTAGCTAGGCAAAAATGATCAAAAAAAAAAATCTACAATGAAGACAATATGGAGGAAATGGTCAGACGACTCCTTATTGGAGTTATTGCCCTTTAAAGACAATGATCAGGATGTCAAGATCTACTAACAAGTCAAATTTTGCCGATATAGTTTAGTAGACTGTCACTCTTTATATGAGTGATTGCCCTTAAATGAGGATTTTATTTATCCACTTGTGTTTTGAGCAAAAACTTGAGAAAATAGAGATAAACTTAACAGGCTAAATGATCAGCAATACAAGATCAACAAAACAGATTTTTGCCATGAATTCTATTCTTGTCTACAATGTTGGAGAGTGTCCTTTGTTGAATATGCACATAGACCAAGGTGAGCGACACAGGCTCTTTAGAGCCTCTAGTTTTTCCCCAACCTGTCAATGACCTCATTTTCCTATTCTAATTGTCAAGTTAGACATGTCCTTCGGTAAATACGTATACTATGTCAACACTATTTATTGTTAAGAATATATGTCTGTCTGATACGTAGATCTAGGGATCGGGTAGTTCAACAGGATTCATTTTGCCCTCTTTTTACACGACAGTCACAGTACTTTTAAGAAATAGTATGTCCATTTCAGAGGTATAGGACCTTCTATTCTTTCATCAAAGTTCGTATTTCCTGAACTAAAACATGCTCCAAAACGTACATGTTGGATCATTTAAATTGCACACATGTGTAACTTGGCGAGTTGCTCGTCTCAGATGGTTAATAAAAGGACGTTTTGTTTTCGCAAGCGATACAGAAACCTATAAACATAAATAAATAAAAAGTGTGACTTTTTGTTGGACCGTGACGAACGGACGGACAAGGTGAGTACACTATACCTCACTCGAGAGTTCAAATGAAGTGGATACAAGCAATCATGACATCGTGAGGCCTTCATCATCGAGAAAAACTCATACAGCATAGTCGGCTATAAAAGTAACCGACAATAAAAATGTGAAACAATTCAAACGAGAAAACTAACGACCCAATTTAAAACAAAAAAACAAATATGACACACGAACAAAAGACAACCACTGAACTAATGCTCCTGACTTGGGACAGGCACATAAAGAATGTGGTGGGGTTAAACATGTTTGTGAGCGCTCAACTATCACCCTTACCTGGGGCGGTGTTACATCACAAAATAAGAATAAACTATTATCAAGGTACTGACGTGATGTTTACTCGGAGGAGCCCAAGATCTGATGGCTGGCGAATAAATAAAAACATGTTCTATCTACATGTAGACTACTAGCAGTTGCCTTTTCAAGTCAAATTGGTGACCCGATTATTATCTTACATCATTAAAACGGAAAAATTTGAACCAACAACCTGAGACTACTACTCAGCAACAACATATAGTTTTTTTTTAAGAAAAATCTTTATATTAAAAATTGGAAATTTTAAGACAAATTTAAGAACGTTTTTCGTCGATTTTACGTGCTTTCTTTACAAAAGTTCACCTATTTTGAATGTATTCAATCAGTAATTTCAGAAAATAAGAGATAAAAGACATTATTTTTTCGATTTTCAGTTAAACCAGCCAAATGTGTATGCACAATTTTAAGAAAATCTGTGACATAGCCCATTTACTGTAATTTGACCTTAAGTAGATTTTTTGCAAATTTGATTTGAAGTTACACTGATTCCATTGATAAATATTGAGATTCAAGAGTTTTGTTATTCCTCACAATATTTTTTGTCAAAATTGACGGTCAAGTTCCATTTCTCACAGTAAGTGTTTAACTTGTTAAGACAAATTTGTAATCCATCTGAAGATTCTGATATTAATACTAAGTCATCAGCATATAAAAGACTAGAACATTATATATCATGTAATGTTACAGTATCACATGAGTTATCAAAAATGGAGGTTAAGTCATTTATATAAAAAGAAAATAAGGTAGGGATTAAAATACAGCCTAATTTTACTCCAACTGTGGAAGGGACCATCTCAGTAATGCCGTTTAAGACGTTAACAAACTAGTATTTAACATGTAATCAATTGTCAAGGTTCTGTGGGTATAGAGGGTCGAAAGGATAACAAAAAGAGTTAAATGTATTTTAAACTGTCTGAAGACCGGATAATACATTTAATAAAATTGAGAATGGAAAAAGGGAATATGTCAAAGAGACAACAACCCGACCAAAGAGCAGACAACAGCCGAAGGCCACCAATGGGTCTTCAACGCAGCGAGAAAATCCCGCACCCGGCGGTGGTCCTCAGCTGGCCCCTAAATAAAATGTGTACTAGTTCAGTAAAAATGGACGTCACACTAAACTCCAAAACTTATAAATGAACTAAAATTAAAAAAACATACAAGACTAACAAAGGCCAGAGGCTCCTGACTTCGGACAGGCGCAAAAAATGCGGCGGGATTAAACATGTTTTGTGAGATCTCAACCCTCCCCCTATACCTCTAGCAAATGTACAATAAAGAAACACACAGAAATACCCACAGTAAAACTAAGTTTAAAAGAAGTTCGAGTCCGATGTCAGAATAGGTAACAAAAGAAACTAAGCAAAATGACAATGATACATAAATTAACAAAGGACTACTAGCAGTTACTGACATGCCAGCTCCAGACCTCAATTAAACTGATTGAAAGATTATGTCTTCATCATATAAAAATATGACTGCATTTCGAACAGACGTGATTGTGTTAAAAACAAGACTGAAGAAGTTTAAGTGACTATAATTATATACTCATGTGACTCTTGCTCTTGCTTGTGTAAACAGTATCCGGTGGTTGCCTTTTTCCTTAAAACGTCACAGCGTAGATCTTTTTTGTTCTTTGATAAGTTTTAAATATTTCTAATTTACTAACTTTTTCTTAATCATGCCAAGACCCCACCAATGCACAACATATTAAATTCATGTAATTTCTACCATGTTTATAGTAGCAATTGTTTTATTTGTCTTGATGAATTGTTCAAACGGAAGAGATTAATCATAGAAGCATATTTTGGTTCGTGTAGTTTTAATCGGTGGTGGATAAAGGAACTATTAAAAAGGGGGAGTGGTTATATCTTAATTAGGGGAGCAGGATGGAGCCAAACATTCTATTATACTAAATTTAACATATGAACAAGGAGATAATTAGTTTAAAGTAAACGGGTCAGCAACCTAACATAAAAGATTAACATGCATAGACATCTATGGACTATTTGCGATATTGAAAATTCAGTCTTTCAGAAATATTGTATGTGTCATGAAAGTTGTACACTTGGATTACGCAATGCCATATTTATCATATGTGCTTTATCCAATAAAATATTTGAATTTGAATTTGAAATATCGTTTGGTTTGCTTGAATTCAGAAATTGGAATTTAGTGCCTGCTCGACCCCAAGAGCGTTGTAGCAAGGGACAAAACTGACTTACTTCTAGACTATTTGACTATAGAAACATTTAGTATCAACCCCCCCCCCCCCCATATAATGAAGCAGAAAACAGTTACCTATTACAGCGATCCCTACCACATATTATATATAAAATGCCCCCTTCCCAGAGTATAGACCTAGCATGTCGTGGCTCGAAAACCTAAAACTGTTTTTGGTGTTTAGAAAAGTGGGCTTTCTTTCTGGCAAAATACACACAAAAAATACAAGGTAAGCAGCTAAAGCATTAGGAAATGTATCTAGTTTGACCATCCAAATGCATCGTTGCCATTCTTAAATTGTCTACATGATAGTAATCATTTCCGAATGTGGAGCGTTTAACTAGTGAGATCATGTTCCTGAAAATGTTTTTACGTGCAACAACAGGTGAGAATT